CGCAACTGTGGAGAGAGCAGGACGCCACTGGATTTGTCTCGGCCACCAATTTCCCTACGCTGAAATAAAGGAATGTCTGCTTTTTCTCTCATATCACCTGCTTCGATGTTCGAAAATAAGCTAAAACAGCGAAATAAAAGTCGCCGGCAATTCTGGCATTGTTACTCCATTTTAGCTTTGTCTTTGGCGGTTTTGTTGAATTTTTGTGTTGAGTGTCTTTGCGTTCACAACAAAAGTGTAGTGTGTTTTTGGGGGCATTGCGTCAGAACAGCAGCAGACAGGCAAACCAGCAAGATGCAGCGATTGACGGGAGCTCTTCTTCGTGGGGCGACCAAGCGAGGACTTCAAGTGCAGGCTGAACGACAGCTCTTTCGATGGCTCACCGTCGTCTGGAACAAGTATGGCTGATAAATGTGCTGTGACAACAACAACATCTGATAACTCTCTTTCCAGAGTCGACGAGGATATGATCAAGGAGATGGGCGCCGAAGCGGCGGCCGCCCAGTGGCTGATTCGCAACGGCGCCAAAGTCAAGTGGGGCAAGAATGGCGACATGTTTGACGATTACGACAAGCTAATGAACAGCGAGGCAAGTCGAAGCAACTTCATCTCGGAGATTGACGCCACCAATTCAAGCATCACTCACGTCGGCTTTCCCTACCTGAGTAAGTGACTTGTTGTTTTGACAAAAAAGGTAAACAATAACTCGATCTTGTTTTGTCATCACTTAACCAGAGAACCTCAAGTCATTGCGAAAGATCGTCTTCAATGAGACCGAGTATCTAGAGGACAAAGCGCTGCACCTTCTGGGTGAGTACCAGTTGCCCACTTTGAAGCATCTGGAGGTGATCAAGTGCCACGATATTACTGATGACGGCGTACGAGCGCTGCAAAAGATAAAGACGCTCAACTACCTCAAACTGCAGGGCCTGTCTTCGGTCACCAACAAGGCCGCCTGCAGTGAGCTGCTGGAGAAGGAGCTGACCAACTGTGATGTTGACTGGGATTGACTGACACTGACTCGCTTCAGGTCACAAGCTTCGCACTTTATTTAAGCACATTATAAAAGATGAAAACACAATACACAATATTGCCCTGGAATGAGATGGTGTCACTGGTACTGAACGCTAGATGTAGATTCGCGTCGTCAGCATCAGAAAGACGATTCCAAAGCCCAGCAGAAGGGAGGCGACCAGCGAGGTAAGCAGCTCCTGGAAGATGTTGCGCGACTTTTTGCTCACCTCCAGCGTGAAGAACCACCCGAGGAAGATGAGGCCCAGGGTGAGCGAGGCGAGGGCGAGGTGCGGGGCGATGGCCAGCGGCACCGGTGGCTGGTAGCTGATCAGTTGAGCCATGGTACTCGATGCTTGAAGAAGAAGTGGGCGGCGAAGTGTCAAACAACTGAAATCAGACTGGCTGAAGACGGGAGAAGTAGACTGAAGAGACTGGCAAACCGGCAGCTCTCTCACTCGTATGGCCAAATCATCAGTAAAGCAGTGAGAGCAGAGCAGCCATATGCACTCTGATGGCGCTACCTACACATGGCGCTCAATTAACCAAAAAATCAGGTGCTGTCGCCGGCAGATTGATGCCCTCACGCCGGAAACAAATTAAAGTCGGGAGTTTGCTCAAACTCAGCCTGGAGTTTCGCCTTCAATTTAGATTGTCCAGAGAGAGGGTTTTATAAGGCACAACTCTTTTGCAGCACACTTCTGCACTCAGAGTTTCAGTTGACTCAAACAAAAAATGTTCAATTCTCGAATGTTGAGAACCGCAAAGAGAGATTTTTGGGTTTGTAAGCAGTTCAGTTTGAGAGGTACTCTCTAAATGTTTGCTGCTCAAAAGTGCCCAAGGCTTAGAAGATCATAAGAGACACAGTTTCAGTTCTGGTAAACTTGTAATGACAAATCAGTTTGTTTACATCTCTTTCATTCCACCTCTCAGATTCTACTCTGTCCGGTTGATAAGTGTCAATAATTCTTGTTGGCAAAGAACCAGTGTTTGGAAGAGTTCNTGGTAAACTTGTAATGACAAATCAGTTTGTTTACATCTCTTTCACTCCACCTCTCAGATTCTGCTCTGTCCGGTTGAGAAGTGTCAATAATTCTTGTTGGCAAAGAACCAGTGTTTGGAAGAGTTTTTCAAGTCAATTAAATGTTCAGCTTGATCCTAGTGATCACCATTCAAACCACAAGCGGGCCAGAAACATTTGGCTTTCAAATGTTTACAAACCTTTAACACCTGGAATTTGTTGACCACTCTTACGTTTGCGAGCTGTGATTGACTAGTTTGCACCAGTTGTTGAGTTTTTAGATTCAAACAGAAACTAGAGAACTCACAAAAAGAAATCTGCTGAGAGAAGGCAAAGTAAAACATTTTCATGAGAACCCAAAACAACCAGTCCCAGCTTGTGAGCTCAGTTGTAGAAAGCTGTGCAAATCAACTTGAACGATACTTATGCTTTTTATTGAAGATTGAAGCAATTCACCGTCAACATAAGCGCTTGTAGTTTGTTTTAGAAAAAGAAACCCAAGATCTTGCCTCCCAGATGCTTTCTTCGGGCCTCTTCGTGGTCCATGATGCCGCCCGATGTGGTCAAGACGAGGTAGCCGAACTGACGAGATGGCAGAAGGTTTCGCGTGTACGACTCCAGATCGTGGAGCTTCACGTCGAATCGAGGACTGATGACACCGCACTTGTTCAGGCGGCCGGTGAGATTGACGACGATTTTGCCGGATCGGTGGTCATCCACGATTTCAAACTCGCCAATGTAACCTGAAAAGGGTGGAAACAAAATTCCATAAGTATCTCAGGATCTCAACAGAGCTCAAAGTGCCAGTCGGTGCTCACCGTGCTTGACCATAACATTGAGGAATTTGACGATCACTTTTGAAGACGGGCGGATCAGCACCTGACGCTTGCCACGCTTTTCAGCGTTGTTGATCGACTTCAGGGCGTCGGCGAGGACGTTCATACGAACCATCGTGTCGCGTTTGTAGCACTTTGGAGTTGGTAGAAGGGGGCGAATCGGGTCAAAACGCGGGCTAAAAGCGGCGAAATTCACCGATTTTGTCGCAGGCTAACAGGAAAAGAAAGCTCTTTGGGGAAGAACCACGCGACAGACAAAACGCGACCTACTCCTAAAGTACGTGCCACAATCGCAGTGGCCTGGCTAGCCTTGCCAAG